ATGTATGTAGATCACATTCACAGAACTTTATATGATTTGATTACTCGATTTATAATTATGCATGCGAAAAAAATCGTGCTTTCTATGTTTTAAAACATAAGTTAAATCCCCATTGTATGATATCAAAACCGTTAGTTATATCACCATCGCAACATATTATATATCATTAGTTATATCACCATTGTAACATATTATATATCATTAATTATATCACCATCGCAACATATTATATATCATTAATTATATCACCATCGTAACATATTATACATCATTAGTTATATCACCATTGTAACATATTATACATCATTAGTTAAATCACCATCGTAACATATTATATGTCATTAGTTAAATCACCATTGTAACATAATATATATCATTAATTATATCACCATTGTTACATATTATACATCATTAGTTATATCACCGTCGTAACATATTATATATCATTAGTTAAATCACCATTGTAACATAATATATATCATTAATTATATCACCATTGTTACATATTATACATCATTTTAATTTAGTTATATCACCGTCGTAACATATTATATATTTCATTAGTTAAATCACCATCGTAACATATTATACATCATTAGTTATATCACCATTGTTACATATTATACATCATTAGTTAAATCACCATCGTAACATATCATAAATCATTAGTTAAATCATCATTGTAACATAATATATATCATTAATTATATCACCATTGTTACATATTATACATCATTAGTTATATCACCGTCGTAACATATTATATATCATTAGTTAAATCACCAGTGTAACATATTATACATCATTAGTTAAATCACCATCGTAACATATCATAAATCATAAGTTATATCATCATTGTAACATAATATATATCATTAATTATATCACCATTGTTACATATTATACATCATTAGTTATATCACCGTCGTAAAATTTTACCTGTGACTGCAATTTTCCCTATTAAGGGCTTCCCCCCTTGAAAGAATTCTTGCTTCCCACTGGTCAATTTCCGTACATTTATCATTTTTGTTTGTGTCCTACACTTTACTTTATCTAATTATTTTATAAATCTAAGTTAGAGCGTGTGTTCTCTAAATCAATAAGGACTTATTTAATGTGTATTTTGTATACTCGACTAACAAATTAATCATTGTATTGCATATTATTTACATTGGCAAGCAATCAATGTTACATTGTCTATTTGTTAAATATAGATGAAATATAACACTTTACGAGTATAAACGATTATAAAATTTTGTTATACTTTAAGTTGTATCATGTCATATATCAATATTTCTTTGTAGCACGGAACATTTAAACTATACTGTAGTTTAAATCTTATCATTAGTATTCATAATGTATTCTTATTGAATTGTTTGCTTATCGTGAGAAATAAAATATAAATGTTTACTAAACTTGTAAAATTATGCAAGCGGCACTCCTCTAAATTACTGTTATAGACCTGCTTTTCTATACCGAACTCAATCATGGCTACAATATGTTGTTTAAACCCCATGTTGTTTACTTTGAGTGAAAACAAGTTATCTGTGTGTCAAAAAAAAACTTAGATTGAGGGGGGGGGGGGGGGAACAAAAATAGTTGTATACAAACTGACTTTGAAAAACGCACGCTGTGCATAAGATCTCTTTCACAACGAAGACGCTTATAGTTATTTGCATACACATTTTATTTTAAAGATATACTATGGTCATCCTTCAGTAGAATTTATTCATCACAAAAATTTACAAAATTAACTGAAATCTATCTAATTCTTTATTTAGATTGATTAAGTAATAAAGAATTAATCGCATGAAAACGGTGTAAAATAAAACATTTAGGTAATCTATATAAATACACAAGTACAAATTTTGCTGAGAAGCTCCGCGCAAAAATGCGCTTATGACGGATACCTTACCAAATAATTCCTGCTCACAGGTCATTAACTATTTAGGTTACTGATGGACTTTATTCCGAATGTTCTGTAGATCAATTATACTTATAACGTATGCACTCTCCGTATTAAATAAAAATATGCCTGTGTGCGCGGAGCAATAAACCCAAATCTGGTTTCCAGTCAGCTTCCGATTAGTTCGCCGCGAGGGGAGGAGGTGTATATTAAGCAATAGAAAGAGCATCGAAACATGAGGCTATCTGATTTTATCAGATTGCCGAGTGTTTAGATGTTCTTTCTCTTTTGTATCATAGTCAAACATAAAAAACACGTTCCCTGTTGTCACAATATGAAACCCCAGAGAAAAGTAACCAATGAACGAGCATCTGAATATGATATTTCTGTCGCTTTCCTTTTAAACCCCAGCAAAAATGAGCATGCCCTTGTACTGCTTTGGTTCTAGAGGAATTATTGTTGTATTCTGGTTCCCGGCATCTAACAAGTATTATCTTTGCGTAGCGAAAGGGGAAGGAACTCCAGACTAATTCTTGTTGTACAACTAAAATTCAAAAGATTTCCTTTTCCTCAATTTATTTTCAAACTTTTTTTTTAACTATTTCAACCCAGAGTCATACAATCTATATATATCCGTATATAGAATTAACATAAACAGATATTAAAGATTGAAATTACAATAGAATTATTTTACACATACAAAATATCTTAACAAAGTGAAAGTAGATTAAGTTTAATTCAACATGTCATTGTCGTAGGGTAAAAATATCATAAATGTATTCCGTTGTTTTTGTTTATTTGTAAAGCATGACCCGACTTGTACCCGATATTTTCAATAGTATCTACTTCGAACTAATCTTTGATCTGTTTATACACGTGACACTTTTCAACCAATCGTAATTTACTTGTCCAGTCAAACCCGTTTTTATTTGTTTGGGTCGTCAGACCAAACAAATAATGGTAGCGAAATTTCAGAGCCTAATGCTGTTAATTGCAAATGCCTAAAGTAGTCCACTTTTTTGAAGCGGTTACTTCCCTTTATATGTACACTAACGCCGAAAAATTCAGGGGAGATCAATGCGTAAAGATTGTCAAATTACAGGCGCATTAATTTTCAAGCAAAGTAGTTCCCGAATGGTCGAAGATTTCTAATATTGTTTCATTCTTTATAGATATACATGCTTACAGTAAGCTCCATGATTATTTACATCTGTGTTTAGCGTCGAAATAATAAGAGTTACAAACCTTAATTTAGAATAATATGGTTTTCTTTAGGTCGTTAACTTATAATTTCACTGTGGCCGAGGGGTTTGCACGCTCGCTTATGAATCGAGTGGTCTCGAGTTCAAATCCCAGTTGAGGCAACTCATTTTTTTTAATTTTTAAGTCAAATAAACATTGAATTGGCTATCAGTGTTGCAATATTAGTCTTATAGCCAATTTACTACAGTTAAAACACTGGAAAGCATTGGTGGCACTATACAAAAACAAATTGGTTTATAATCTCACAACCTTCACCTTTCTAACATTCTGAGACCCAAACAAATTCAGCGTCTTCTGTGCTTTGATTCAAATTGTATACGCTTTTTATAGTGTAAATTAAAATACCAAATATCTCTGGATATATTAAATATTTATTCAGGTAAATTAGATTTTTGTATTTTATAAATATATCTCTAAATATACTGTAAATCATTAAACAATGTAATAGTATTAACGAAATCAATTTTGTGTTTTGTTAGCGGACTGTAACGCGCCATCACACCTACATATATACCAGCGTACATTGTTTCGTTTCTTTACATTTTTGACAGCTGTCATCTGTCAAATGATAATTCTATATGTTATGTTTGTATAATGTTATTTTCTTTATATTTTCAGATTTTTTTATTCTTTATCATATTCATTGATAAAGTAAATATAATAAACCCCATTTATAAACTTTATGAAATAGTTTTGTCATTACCCAAACCTACAAACCTTATACGGAAGCTGAGAGGCCGGTGACACCATTTCAACTTTGATTGTATTAAACAAAAGGTCTATTACATGTTTTCATTCCCATTTATTATCATCTTGCTTTCTAACATATAATAAAGATTAAAACTTAAGTTCTCACCAAATAATAACAATATAAAGTTTCCGGACATAAATTCTACTGACAGAAAGTGCCATGTTCTTTTAAATTATGCCAACTGGTCAAATTAAACGAAACGACTAGTTGAACGATTTAAACAATTACGCAAAGTACTACAAATAACAAATCTTCTACATGTAGTTAAAACAATTACATATACATTCAAGTTAGAACATAAGTTATAACACCCCAAAAATTACAAAGTACATCATTCTCTTAACATTAACTTAAAATATTTGACTTACCTAAAATGCAAAAAGATGTCCCTTTTTCCTCAATTTATTTTCAAACTATTTTTTAAACTATTTCAACCCAGAGTCATACAATCTATGGCTCTTCAGAGGAAAGGACTTTAGAACAACAACTTCCATAACAATAATAGACCAATCAATTTTACTGTACATCATGTGACCCTTAATTCCCTTAGTTAATTTTTAACCAATCAATTTTAATTTCGTCTAACAAAATTTGGAATCACTCAATGAAACATTGTTTACTTGTTAATAAAAATATTAACTGAAACCCTGTACGTTCATGACAAATCAGCTTATAGTTACTGATAGTGTTAAAATTTCTTTTGTAACATTTACTATCGAAAAGTCTGAAATAGGATTAATTATCTTGTTAAAGCGATTACCGTAGATTGGTTAACTTAGATCTTCCTTTTTGTATTTGTTCTTATGCATTCTGTTATAACACGTTACCGACATAAAAGCGTACAAGAATAAAAGTAAAATCAAAATTAGATAAAAATAAATAATAAAAAAATAAAATCAAACATTTTAATGCATAATATAATTAATACTTGCACTCCAGTTAACGCACTGTGCATGTATATATGTATACGATCTAACTCATTTTTTCAACAGAAAGGTCCTAAAACTATGATACAATTATTAACTATACTAAGTGTTAAATGTGCACTTTAGTTTACACAATAAATCATTCTGACCTTCAATGCATCCTTTTACTATGTTCATCTAATCTATTTATTTCACTAAAGCTTAGCGATATTTGACAAGGCTGATAAAACAGAGTCGGGGTCAACTGTAGAAGATACATGTTTATGTAAATAGTGAGTGAAAGGGAATATATTAGTGGGTATTGTTTAATTAGTTTATATTTTTATATTTTTTCAATGTGTCAGTACTTTACCCTTTTTACTTTTTGTGTTTTTACAAAAAAAAAAAAATAATTTCATCTACATGCTCGCTCTTGTTTAACATAAGACCTAACTATAAGTAAGTGTTTATTTGTTAGCATAAACAATCGAATGATCAAGAGCGACACCTGTACTTAAAGCTGCACGCCTCCAAATGAGCCAAAATATTTTAAGAAATTCAATCTTTAGAAAAATATTTTAAGATCTTAAGAAAAGTAAAAAGATTCAATATTAATTAATTATTGACATGTAATGTGCGATGAATGACTGATTTTGGGTTATTAATGACTATAATTCTACTGCGTTACTAACGCAGTAAGAGGTATTTATATATATGTTGACCTCTTTTTGTTAATTTACGTGGACTGTAAGTGCCGTTCGCAATGTGTAAATTACTTTCTTTTTTCACTTCACAATATTTTACTTTTAAATACATTTTCAAAAGTTTAATGAAAATAAGCATGAATCTGGAGGCATGATGCTTTAAATCTAATATTGGAAAATATTACCTCCGAAATACTTAAGCACGCAATCAAGATCTACCGGTGTACTAACATTTCAAAATGTCTCTTTAAATAAAGTGTACATTAGATAGTTGAAAGGAATCATTATATCGATTTGAAACTTGCATATTGTGACATGTTTACTTCAAAATAAGACAGTCCGCTTCCCTGACATCGAGATTACCTTCTTTAGATATACATATATAACTAACTGATCTTTATTTGCACCATGTGACGGTAGGAGTAAATATTTACGGAAACTCGTTAGGGCCATCGTGGTTATACGTTAAAATACAGAGGGCGACAATGCGATAGTGCGATGACGACAATACGATAGTGCGATGACGAAAATGCGTCTGTGCGATGGCGACAATGCGATAACGTGATAGTACGATGAAGAGAGGGCGATAGTGTTATCGCATTGTCGCCATCACATTGTCGCATTGTCGTCATTGCACTATCGTATTGTCGTCATCGCATTGTCGTACTGTCGTCATCGCATTATCGTACTGTCGCCATCGCATTGTCGCCCTATCGCCATCACGTTATCGCATTGACGACTATCGCCTTTCGGTGGGCGGTTCCTTATATTCAACTGGTCAGTAATATTGTACTATAGCCATCTCATTCCGCTGGTGGACATAGAGAGGCAAGGTGTTTCAATGTTGAAAAACACATCTATCATGCTATCGTATATCCATATTTAATCCGGAAAATACTTATTGTTTTTGTTGTATTTTTTTTAAGGGAAACATGCAAAGTACGAATTACCAACTACCTGCTGGTAGGTAGTGGGGTTAGGAATAACCAACTACCAGCTAGTAGGTAGTTGGTTATTCGAATATCCAACTACCAACTACCTACCAAATTGACGCTCCTTCAGGTTTTTATCAATATCTAAGATGGAGCCATTTTTGGTGCTTGGTGAACATTGCTCTTTTATATTTTTAAAGATAGTAAATAAATATGATTAAATAAAAACAATCCTTTAAGATATTCTAGATTCTGTGTCCACTTGTTTTATATTTAGCCAAAGTGATTTTAGCTCAACACCGAGAAACTGCTTTGTAATTTATTTTGCAATGTTAGTACAAATTGCTTGGTGATTTATGCCATATTTTCTTCTTATACTATATGGTCAGCAGATTTAAGGTATGTGCATTAGGTACACATGAATATTACAATCTGTTGACCAGATAAACATATATTGAAAATTGATGACCACTTATATTAGATATACAGAGAAAATTAAGTTTAGACGTACATTTCTTTTTTTTTTTAACACTGTTAGTATATATAATAAATTATACATCTTACAAAAAAATAAAACCACTGATGACCAATAAAAATATAATAGAATAGCAGTAATTTATATTGAACAAAGCTGACCAGTTAGATTAATTAATGAACTATATTTAGAATTATAGAGAAAACTCATAAAATAGAAATGAAATGTGTATTTTCATTTTCCGTATTTACACTGTAAAAATGTGTTCTTCACTGTAGTGAAACATATTTTCCTATTTTCACTTGTGTCTTGCCGGACTACTTTGTTTTAGATTAAGCCGATATACAAAATCTAAGGGCAAGTCTCTCAAATTGTAATGACAAAAAAAAAAGAAGAAAAAAAGTATATAATAATACCGCAACTCATGAAATATTTATTTTCATACCACCCGATAAAAATAAATCCTGTATTTATAGAAAAAAAACTTGAATATCCTCTATATGTACTACTGACCAATTAAATATTTTTTTGCATCTCATAAATGTCAACATAACATCATTTTCATCTGAAATCTTTTTTCTTTTTAAGTTTCACACAGTTTATTACATTGTCCGTGTATTTTATATAAGTATTTCCCCCTATCTTTTGATATAAAATGTTACTTTTATTAATTTATAATTTGATTTAGACGTTTTCAGTATACAAAAAAAAAGAAAAAGAAACAAACAAGAAAAAAGAAGAAAAGAAATAAAAACAAGAAGAAAAAAATCTATTGACAAAGTAAAATTATTTTCCCATATACTATACGTCATCGCATTGTCGTCACCCCACTGTCACATTGTCGTCACCGCACTGTCACATTGTCGTCACCGCACTGTCGCATTGTCGTCACCGCACTGTCACATTGTCGTCACCGCACTGTCACATTGTCGTCACGGCACTGTCACATTGTCGTCACCCCACTGTCACATTGTCGTCACCCCACTGTCACATTGTCGTCACCCCACTGTCACATTGTCGTGACCCCACTGTCACATTGTCGTCACCGCACTGTCGCATTGTCGTCACCGCACTGTCACATTGTCGTAACCCCACTGTCGCATTGTCGTCACCCCACTGTCACATTGTCGTCACCGCACTGTCACATTGTCGTCACCGCACTGTCACATTGTCGTCACCCCACTGTCACATTGTCGTCACCGCACTGTCACATTGTCGTCACCGCACTGTCACATTGTCGTCACCGCACTGTCACATTGTCGTCACCCCACTGTCACATTGTCGTGACCGCACTGTCACATTGTCGTCGCCGCACTGTCACATTGTCGTGACCGCACTGTCGCATTGTCATGACCGCACTGTCGCATTGTCGCCACCGCAATGTCGCATTGTCGTCACCCCACTGTCACATTGTCGTCACCCCACTGTCACATTGTCGTCACCGCACTGTCACATTGTCGTCACCGCACTGTCGCATTGTCGTCACGCGCACTGTCGCATTGTCGCCACCGCACTGTCGCATTGTCGTCACCGCACTGTCGCATTGTCGCTCTCTGGGTTAGAAAGTATAACCACGATTGCCCTAAAGGTATTCCGTAAACATTAGGATCCGGATTCCGGGACGCTCGATCAGGATCGTATCAAACATCATATTATAGGGTATGAATGATATGTTTCGGCGTATTTGCGGCAACAAATAGTTCGCATTCAAATGGATGCTTGTTCGCTACAGTGATATTGTACTTGCATTTTGATAAAAAAGGCAAAATATCTGATTAACAATTATATTTCATTAGTTGGCTGAAAAAATATATTTATAGATTTTATTACATTGAAATCATTCAACATCATTGATAGTACAGTGTCAATTTGTCATACATCATATCGTGAAACCTCATCTTCTTTGGTGAAAGGGAGCTAATGCCTTATTAACAATTAATATAAACATTTTTGAGTTACTTGCCGGATTGGCATCGTAACTAAATATGCACATGAATCGAAATTCAACAAGACCGAAATTGTTTAAATAATTTGTTCCAATAATTGAGGGCGAAAAGTATCAACTATGCGATAATGTTTAGACTTGGAAAAAAAATGAAATATAATGCTACCGTGTCACTTTACAGTGTCATGATTCAAGTCACGTGTCGAATATTATGTCATTTTAAACTTTAGTGATGTCATATCACAATGATGTGATGTCAACTCACGCTGTCTTTATGTCACTTTACACTATCATAGTGTTATTTTCATATGAATGTCACTGCACATTGTCTGACAAGATAAACACTTCAGGTTGTCGTAATGTCACTTCATAATGCCATAATGTCACTTCACGTTGTCGTAATGTCATTTCATAATGACATAATGTCACGTCACGTTGTCGTAATGTCGCTTCATAATGCCACAATGTCCACCAATTTGTCGTAATGTCACTTCATAAAGCCATTATGTCACGTCATGTTGTCATAATGTCACATCATAATGCCATTATGTCACGTCATGTTGTCGTAATGTGTCTTCATAATGCCATTATGTCACGTCACGTTGTCGTAATGTCACTTCATAATGCCATTATTTCACGTCATGTTGTCGTAATGTGTCTTCATAATGCCATTATGTCACGTCACGTTGTCGTAATGTCACATCATAATGCCATTATGTCACGTCATGTTGTCGTAATGTGTCTTCATAATGTCATTATGTCACGTCACGTTGTCGTAATGTCACTTCATAATGCCATTATTTCACGTCTAACTGTTATTATATCATAGTACCTAGGTCACGATAAGGAAACAGTATAAAGTTTGTTTTCTGTGTTTTTTTAATTTTCAGAAAATGTCTGAACAGCAGGATTCTAAATGGAAAGAGGAGTTTAAGAAAGATGTCGTGTATTTACACGTGATTCCTAGATCACGTGCACGTGATGTGGTTAATATATCTCCATACGCCATCAAACTTGAGCTATGGCTGAGAATAAACAATATACCATTTGAGGTAAGCATTACATGCCTTAGGTACAACATGTTATCTGTCATTCAGAGTCAACATTAATATATGCGGGATCACAGTTAATATTAAGTGCGTAGCATTAGTTAATAAATGCGTGATCACAATTGATTGAAGTTCAGACCTATGATGGTGATAGTGGTAGTGAAAGTGGTAGTGGTAGTACTACGGTAGTGGTAGTAGTAATTACAATGTTCACATGAAGTATTGCATGATCAAACTAAACTGATACTGGCGGGTCGCACTGAGAGGTCAAAGTTATTAAGTGATGGGCATCAAAGTAAATAACATTTGAAATATATATATATTTTACAATTCCTGTGCAGGCTTGCGGAAAACCTAAATTCGAACCTCAATCAACTAGAGGCGAATGTATCTTTAAAGGTCGTTTCTAAAAAATGAAATTAAGAATGGTTTCTTTTAAAAAAAGGCGTGTCTTTCAAAACCACTTATTTCGAATGCACTACAAATTACGCATGTAGACAATAAATTCTCACAAACATGTGAGTGTCTGAAATTATTTCTTGTCCAATTCAAAATGAATCATAACACATGTACTTTGGTTAAGTCTAGTAAATCGTCAGTTTTAGTAAAAATAATTTCAAACACTTACTTGGTTACTGTTTATAATTATTAGTGTTTAAAATTATTTTTTGTCCAATACGATTGCAGTATTTCAAATGAATCGTAACACATTTACTTTTGTAAATCGGCAAACTGTTAATCAGTCTAGTAAATTGACTGTTTATAAAAAATAATCTAAAACTCTAAGCTGGTTAAAATCTATTAGTACGTATTTACAAATTTAAATTGGTCGCGCGGCTTTTGTTGATAGTTGTTCCTTGTCATGAAGAGTTTTTATATTCAGGTGAGCGAATTCAAGGCCATCATTGCCCTCTTGTTTAAGGACAACTTTGCCAAAGTTAAAGATAAACTATTTTAAGAATGTCATGGATCCTCTTAAATGGACCAAAAAGCAATGCACTGTCATATAATGTATTCTGTTATTAATGATAAATCAAAAAGATAATTTAAGTCTAAAACAAACACTAAAAACAATAACCATGTTTTTATTTCTCGTTAACATACACCGCATGTAACGAATTTCAAAGACTCGTAAAAAAATTTATGTTTCCATTCCAGACGATTGATTGTCAAGCATTCTCCAAAAAAGGTCAAAGTCCTTTTATAATGTTTAATAAGGAAGAAATACCTGACAGTAACTTTATCATCGAGTTCCTCAGTGAATATTTCAGCGTAGATCGATTTCCAGGATTAAACACCACAGAGAAAGCAGTCGCACGTGCATTCATAAAAATGGTCGAGGAAAATACGTCATGGTGAGGAGTAAAACATGTTCTATATAAATCTTTATAAACCTTGGTCTATGCAAATCATAGTAAAACGTGTTCTTTATAAATCTTAGTAAAAACATATTCTATTTAAATCCAAATAAAACATGTTCTATATAAATATTAGTGCAACACGTTCCATAAAATTCTTAGTGAAACATGTTCTATAAAAATGTTAGTTAAACATGTTATTTATAAATCTGAGTAAAGCCTGTTTTGTATAATTCTTGTAAGATCATGTTCTATATAAATCTTAGTGAAACATGTTCTTTAAAAAAGTTAAACATGCCCCTCCCCGTGAAATTTGCCCTGCAGATATTTCCTCCCCTTTTCTGTCAAGGTGGACATATGCGTGTGTATTATCTAAAATCTACTGAATAAAACAGTAGTGACACATTCGAAAGAAAACGGAAAAAACTGCAAACAAAAATAATCTAATAGCAATATTCCAACCTTTATTTTCTTTAATATTCTTTAAGGGTGGTGGATGGGGGGATATCCGCCCCTTCAAAATACATGAGGGGGTGTCCGAGTTAACACATGTCCTAACATCACTAGTTAAGTATTCTTATTATAATCTGTATTACTGTATTTATTTATCATGTGTAATTTTATGTTGTTCTAAACTAGTTATGACAGGTATTGTACTGTATTCACACCGTACAATCAAATGGGCAGACAGCTGTTCCAGCGTCGACAGCTGTACCAGTATATACATGTCGGCGCGGGGAATACAATTGACATACGGTAAGTATTCATCTATTTTAACATATCCCAACTGTGTTCGAGTAAATCAATGTTATGGATTCATAGTCAACATCCAAAGGAGCATGCTAACAAATTTCTGGCCCTGTGCAAGCTTTATTTCACGTGAATTTTGACTGAAAATAACCACACTATCCGATGAGATGCGGTATTTTTAGTTTAAAGTCACAAAAACTTATATTTTCTCATGATAATAAATCCTTTTTTCATAAGATTCGTAAACGTCAACATTTCGTCATTAATTATTCCAAACCATACATTCAAATAAGCTTTTCTGTTAAAGTTATGAGGTATTTAAGTTTAAGTGTCATCAAAATTTTAGTAACGTCATCAGCTGTTCGCCTCTTTTTAATGTTAATGATAACATCGACAGCAATTCATCGGCAATAATGAATAACGCTGAAAGCCGTTCAAAGAAACAATTTTCAGCGCTTTTGTGCTACAATAACTAGGAAAGAGTAAAACATTTTTGTTCATATAAAATATTACTTTATTCATGATACTTTCTAATTATATTATTTTTATTATTATTTTCTATTATTTGTTGTATCTTAGCTGAGAGACCTTTATCTCCATTTACCGCACTGTATTTCAATATAAAAAGGTAGCAAGATCTATAAATATGTTTCTGAAATGTTAAATTCAAAGAAAGTAAAGGCAAATTTTACGCTTAATACGAATACTCTGTATTATAAATAAATCCACCAAGTATTATAAATAATGGCATATAGTAGACATGTTCCATGCAGTAAATGGCTGTGTCACCCGAGATGTCTGCCATATAAAATGATTTATTTAAAACATAAAAATTTAAATAATTTTTAAGAACCATTATTATTTCTATTGCACTATACATTAAAACAGATTTTAAGGATCAACAAGAGCTGTCAGTAGGACAGCAACGCTCGACTATTCTCAGTGCTTGATAGTAAAAAATGCCTTGATTAAAAGGTAAAATTTTCTAAGTACAGAAAAAGGCAATTTTTTCTTTAAATCCATATTACAGTTATAGGCCTTGAAGAGAGTCCTATTATGCTCTCAAAGAAGAGTATAAAATTTAAACATGTTTCAAAGCCATATGTCAATGGACTTTGAAAATATTTGAGGTATTACAAAAACTTTAACATAAATTCTAAGTCGAAAAGGGGGCATAATTCTGTCAAAATGCTTGATAGAGTTACCTCCTCCTGTCTACATGTTGGGGTCATGATAGTAAACAAGTGTCTAAAGTTTCAAAGCAATGGACCTTGAAAATATCTGAGGTATTACAAAAACTTTAACGTAAATTCTAAGTCGAAAAGGGGGCATAATTCTATCAAAATGCTTGATAGAGTTACCTCCTCCTGTCTACATGTTGGGGTCATGATGGTGAACAAGTGTGCAAAGTTTCAAAGCCATAAGATGAGTTTGAAAATATTTGAGGTATTACGAAAACTTTAACATAAGTGTTTACGCCGACGCCGACGCAGCCGCCGACGCCGACGCTCGGGCGACTACAATAGCTCTACTTATTCTTATCGAATAGTCGAGCTAAAAACAACATGTTTTTCCATGCACTTTCATATCTCGGGTTACACAGCCATTCACTGCATAGGACTTGTCCACTATATGCCTTTATTTATAATAACACTTGATGGATGCCTTCATTTATAAGACTTAATATTCGTATTAAGCGTTAAATTCGCCTTTGCCTTTTGAATTAAACATTTCATAAACCTATTACAGGAACTCCACTGAGGTTTATAAGCCTAAAAACATGAAATTTTATTTTTTCACATAGATAAACATGAGCACTTTAAACATAAATGTTAATAAAATATAACCAAGAAATATAGGAGATATACATTGAAAATCATATTCTTGTGCTAATCTCAGTCCGATTTGAGTGAAAAGCGTTTAAACACTTTTCAATTTTGGGTCTTTTTTCACTATTATAATAATTATTCTGGAAAAACGGAGCAAGCTAATGATCGGAAATTTTGCACATAAGTTATTAGTATAGATCTACATCAAATGGAGAAATAATCTCAATAAATTATTTCAAGTCCCGTCATGTCAAAAAAACTTAGTGGAGTCCCTTTAATAGATCTTGCTACCTTTTTATATTGAAATACAGTGCGGTAAATGGAGATAAAGTTCTCTCTCAGCTAAGATACAACAAATAATAGAAAAATAATAATAAAAATAATATAATTAGAAAGTATCATGAATAAAGTAATATTTTATATGAACAAAAATTTTTACTCTTTCTAGTACTGTAGCACAAAAGCGCTGAAAATTGTTTCTTTGAACGGCTTTCAGCGTTATTCATTCTTGCTGATGAATTGCTGTCGATGTTATCATTAAAAAAAGAGGCGAACAGCTGATGACGTTACTAAACTTTTGATGACACTCAAACTTAAATACCTTATAACTTTAACAGAAAAGCTTTTTTGAAGGTATGGTTTGGACTATTTAATGACGAAATGTTGACGTTTACGAATCTTATGAAAAAAGGATTTATTATCATGAGAAAATATAAGTTTTTGTGACTTTAAACTAAAAATACCGCATCTCAACGGATAGTGTGGTTATTTTCAGTCAAAATTCACGTGAAGTAAAGCTTGCACAGGGCCAGAAATTTGTTAGCATGCTCCTTTGGATGTTGACTATGAATCCATAACATTGATTTACTCGAACACAGTTGGGATATGTTAAAATAGATGAATACTTACCGTACGTCAATTGTATTCCCCGCGCCGACATGTATATACTGGTACAGCTGTCGACGCTGGAACAGCTGTCTGCCCATTTGATTGTACGGTGTTGTATTGTTTTCTCTGACTGTTTTACAGGCCAATTTTCATCTATCGTTATGTAGAGAACATAGACGAATACTCGGAATACTTCTCACCAGATCAGCCAGTAGAAGTTAGAAAACAAATTCTGGGAAAACTACAAGAATGGGTAGGTGTATGCAATAAAGCATACAATAAGAAAGAATTTATAATGTGAGGTGTAGAATAAATAATGTAAAATTAGAAACGCATGCTGTAAAATAATGCTATATGATGAAGAATAAGTGATGTATTAATATGATGTAGAATTAATGATGATGTGAAATGTTTGATTTATGGTCTAAAATGAATGACATATGATCTAAAATTAATCATGGATTATGTAAAATTAATTATGTTTGATGTAGAATGAATTGTGCATATTGTAGAAATAACTATGTGTGATGTAGCATCAATCATGCATGAAATAGAATATTGGCATTTTTTATCCTTTAAATGATATTTCTTTTTGTACCGCCTTCTGGTGAAGACGTTTTCCAACGTCCCTAGTAGCAAAGGTTCTGGTGCCAATTTTCGTCGTTTCTCATTTTCTGAATTTAACTACCCCTTTTCAGAAGAAAAAAATACATACATACACAGATAAGAAAATATGTAGTGAATATTAATTATTTTTGATTGAACAATAATTGGACAATTTTAAAAATTAACAACCTTGTTAAAATATATATAGAGGGAAATAATTGGGGGAGGGGGGGGGGGAATCCTTAATGAATAAGTTCAGGTAATGCCCAATAATAGCGTTTAATATGTGACAAGTTTTTATATATGAATTATTTTGCATTAGATATCATTCTGTAAATTGTAGGTAGGTAAACGTGCACATTGGTCACGGTATAGGGCGTCATTCTAGTGAAGAGGTTCAGAAAGTAGGCTGTGACGAACATTCAGGCCATTTCGGATTACCTCGGACAAAACAAAAGAATTTATGATGGGCGATAGCCCAACAGTGGTAACACTATTTCCTATAACGTCTATCTAAAATAAAAATAAATATTCTTTATTTTGTACTTTAAAGCACTCATTTTAAAAATGTGTTAATTTTTTTGAAAGAACTAAAATTTTTTTTTCCAAAAATTTTTTGAAAACATATAGCCCCTTCATTTAATTGCAACATTGAACTTTTTGGTTATTTATTTTAATTTACACTTTAAAAAAGGGCACCATTTTATATTGAAAATTGAACCATTTTGTATTTAATAATTTTTTTGTAAAATTTAAAAACTAAATTTAAAATGGTACATTGAAAAGCACTAACTTTTTTTCAAATATGTCCCTTTTATAAAACCCCCATTTAAATTTTGTGCCCTTTGAAGAATTTGGGTTATTTATATATTTTAACCCCTTTTTTAAAAACGGCACCTTTTTTAAATATTGTACTTTAAAGCCTAAATTTAATTCTTATTTTTTTGTAGCAGTTTATAGGCAAACCATTTTTAATTGTTTACCTTTTTTGAAAAGGCACGGGCTTTTTTTATATATTTAAAATTTATATTGCGGCCTCATTTATATGTAACATTTCCCTGATTTTATTTTAATTGTAAATTTTTAATAGCAATGAAATTTATATGTGAAATTTTGTACCCCGGGCTTATTTATTTTAATGTACATTATAGCACTAAATTTAATTTTAACATTGTAGCATTTGGCTTATTTAAAATTTTTACATTAAGCCCCATTTAAAATTTTTAATTTTAAACTGACTTTATTTTATTTTTATGCCCATTAAAAAAGCACTCAAATTTTAATAATGTTTAAAATTGTAACACGGGTTTAAATTTTAATAGTACTTTATAGCACTATTTATGTGAAATTTTGTAGCACTGGTTTTTATTTCCTTTAAATGTATTTTTTTAGCAACTCATTTAATTGGTACATTGTTTAAGCTTTCCGGCTTTTTTTATATATGTACATTAAAAGCAAATAATTTTTTATTTTTTAAACATTTGCACTGGTTTAAATTTATATATGTACTTTATAGCCCCATTTATATTGAACTTTTAGCACGGGTTTTATTTAATAAAAATTACTTTTAAAAAAGACTTCATTTTTATATTTTGAAACATTTTTAGGCAACCTGGTTTATTATATATGTCATTAACCAAGAATTCATTTAATTTTTGTACTTTTAAAGCAGGGCTTATTTTCATATATTTTTAAACAGTTTTTAAAACAGGCACTATTATATTTTACATTGTAGCACTGCTTTTTTTTAAAATTTTATACATTTAAGGTTTTTTCCTCATTTAAATATGTACATTGGAAAAAACTTCCCTTATTTATGAATGATATTAGCATTTTTAAACTCCATAATAAATTATGTTATACTATACTGAAATTTGCCAAAAAAATTCTAATTCAAAAAAACTGAAAAAAAGGGGAACTGAGGGGAACGAAATTTGCCCAGGCATGCTTTAAGCAAAGGAGAATAGTTTAATTTTCTTATGAATTTTTATATAATTTCAGGTGGACTGTTCTGTGTTTGGTGTTCTATCACAAGTTGTTTATTTCCATGGGATATCCTATGAGGAAAAAAATCAGGGAAAAAAATGTCCAAATTTTTACATTTTAATTTGACAGATTAAAAGAATACTTTTGGACAATTTGGGACGAAAGGAAAAAAATGTAAAACAGAGAAATTTTAAACTAAAAAAAAATTGTGATAAAAAATATACGTTTTTTTTTAAAAAAATTTAATTTTTTTTTTTTAAATTTTTATAAAAATAAAATTTTAAAAGCGTTAAAATTAAGAGACTTTCTTTTTTTGGCCCCGGAACTATTTTAAAATTTTAAAAATACACTTTACGTTTTTTTTTGGGTAAATCAAAAAAATTAAAACATTTTTAACTTGGAATAAAGTTTTTCAAAGGTCATAAAAATTTTGTGTGGTAAAAAGGGTTTTGGGTATTTTGGGGGAAATTTGTAGGAAATATATTTTCTTGTTATAAACCCGGGGGGTTATTCCCAAAATTTGTTTGAGGGTAATTTAGGTGCCCAAAGTCATTGGGGGCTTTTAATGATTGAACTTAGGTAATTGCCCGGGATGAAGGGCCCTTTAAATTTTTAAAATTAGTAAATTAAAAGTAAAAAAAGACATTTTTGATAAAAATTAAAAAACCAAATTTTCCTGACCCATTTTTAAGCCTAGCCTAAAACGTTGTTTACTTCATTTTTAAACAATTTTTTTGATAATAAAACGATTTAATGGTGGATTAAAATATACATGGGCAAATGAAGTTTTATTACAAAAACCCATATCTTTTTAAAAATATTTAAAATTAACCCTTTTTTTTTATTTTTTTGTTTATATATAAATATAGAGAAATGTTTAAAAAAAGATCATTATTGTATTTTTTGGAGTCTTCGATTTGTAAGTATGATTTTGTTTTAAATTAATTGAATCAATTAATTTTTATTAAAAATTTATCTTCTTTTACAAATTATTTAGTAACAAAACTTTATAAAAAAGTAAATTTTTTAAGCATTTTTTTTTAACAAATTTAAACCCAAAAAAAACGCCAGAATAATAACTTTAAATTTTTTAAATAAAACTCGAAAAACCCTCCCGTAAAAAAAACCCCCTTTAAAATAAATTTTTTGGGCCTTAACATATATTTGTATGATTGACATTTTCCCCGTGAAACATATATTTGTATGATAAACTTAATCCATGATTGACATTTTGCCGTTAACACATATTTGTATGATAACTTAATCCATGATTGCCATTAACACATATTTGTATGATAACCTTAATTCATGATTGCCATTTTACCGTTAAGACATATTTGTATGATAACTTAATCCATGATTGCCATTAACAGATATTTGTATGATAAACTTAATCAATGATTGCCATTTGTAAGATAAAGTTAAAAAACATAACCATTTTTGTCGTTAACAAATATTTGTATGATAAAGTTAGAAACATTGCCAATTTGTCTTGAAAATATTTATATGATAAAGTTTTTAAAAAAGCATTGCCATTTTGTCTTCAACAAATATTTGTTTTAAAATAAATTATTTTTTTTTTTTCCCCAAATTTAAAAAAAAGAAAATAATTTATAAACAACATGATATCTTTCCTTCACAGTATGAGATTTTAAAAAAAAATTAAAAAACAACATTATAAGAAAAATACAAAAGAATAGTACAATCTGTAAGCATAAATTGTGTTTTTTTTTTAAGTTGTCCATAAAAAAAACAGTCTTGGTCCGAGAACGAAATAGGTAAAATAAAAAAGCGTCGTTATTTTGTCTTCAGCTAATGTTGCTGTTTCGTCATTAATTTTTTTTTTGATACCATTTAAAACATCGCAACATTGTATTCAACAAATATTTGTTTAGTCAGGTTAAAGATATTGCCATTTTACTTTAACCAATATATATATATATCTAAGATAAAGTTGGATACAACTACTTTAGAATAATCACGGAACATTAAAGTGATGGTATCACACCTTATTATCAACCAACCAAATAATCCAACATCATCATAATCATATACAATAACTCAACCTCACTATCAACTTTCCGAATAACAGGACAATGTTAGAAAGAATAGTTGTAAGACAAAAATACAACCGTCAACAGGACAGTGTTAAACAGAAATGTTGTAAACAAGACAGTATAAGACAAAAATACAACCGTCGACAGGACATTGTTAGACAGAAATGTTGTAAACAAGACAGTATAAGACAAAAATACCGTCAACAGGACAGTGTTAGACATAAATATTGTAAACGAGACAGAATAAGACAAAAATACCGTCAACAGGGCAGTGTTAGGCAGAAATATTGTAAACAAGACAGTATAAGACACAAATACCGTCAATTGGGTAGTGTTAGACAGAAATATTGTAAACAGGACAATATAAGACAAAAATACCGTCAACAGGACAGTGTTAGACAGAAATATTGTAGAAATTTTATAAACAGGACAGTATAAGACAAAACGATCGTCAACAGGACAGTGTTAGACAGAAATATTGTAAACAGGACAGTATAGTCAAAAATACAAACCCTCAACAAAACAGTGTTAGACAGAAATTTGTAAAACAAGGGGCAGTATAGTCAAAATATAACCGTCAACAGGAAAGTGAAGATAAAAATTTTCTTAAACAAAGGGCAAATAAAAAATGATATTGTCAACATGACTGTGTAAAGACAACATTTTAAAAGTTGGAAAAAAAAATCTTTCTTACGACAGTGGTTTTTTATTTAGTTTTACAAAACATATTTCTTAGTCAAACTCAGATATTAGGTTATTGAAGAACAGACAGAGAATGAAAATTGACCCAAATGAAAACCCCAAAGATTCATAAAACAGTGAAAAGAGGTTTTTCCCTTTAATCTTAGAACCAAATCTAACTTTAAAACTGCGATAAATTATGTTAAAATTATTTGGATTAAGACATGATGCTATAAGTTTAAAAAAA